TTTTGGATTGTATCTTGGATTGTACATTTAACAGCGTCTACCGTAAACTTTAAACTTATTAATTCAAAAATGAAGTATTTGTTTATATGAACTTTTGTCCTTGTTTAGTATGAGGAACCTGCTTCCAAATTTGTATAAGTATTTTTGTTACACTCTATATATACATACATATATATACATATATATGTATATATATATATATATATATATATATATATATATATATATATATATATATATATATATATATATATATATATATATATATATATATATATATATATATATATATATATATATATATATATATATATATATATATATATATATATACAGACATACATATATATGTTGATTGCGATGTCAGACGATTGCTACTCCTCCATTGATTTACCGTCCGTGGAACCGTTTATGACTCTTCAGTCCTGCCAGCGACTTACACATCTTGCAGCAGATTGGGCAAGCATAGCCATTGGCTTTGCTTGAGTCCACAGAAACGGTGTCGGCATCACTGTGAAATTTCATGTGACGCTTAAGACCACCAGCTGATCGGCAAACTCTTCAGTAGTGGGAGCATGAAAAGTTTCCATCCTAGGACTCAATGAGCGGCATGGGAGAGACAACAGGTGTTGTTGGAAAGCTTTTATGCGATTTCATGTAGTTAACCAGGCCTGCCTTTGACAGCAGAGTCCGGTCACACACCTCACTGACCCACACATCTTCACAATTGGTCGGCATTGGTTCCCGTTTTTTTTCATGCTCTCTTGAGTACTCCTCTGGCTTCTTCAAAAAAGTTCAGCACCTTCGAAAATCACAGCCCTCCACTGGCCACGATCAGATGTCAGGGATTCCCAATCATCATCAGGAACATCAAAATACGTTAAAATCTCCTCGACGCTATCACGAAACCGTTTTTGTCTTGTGTTTGTGTATTTTGCCAGAAAGAAGCTCACCATAAAACAGCTATTTTGGAAACACGCATCTTTGATACACAGACACTTTAGTAGCAAGAGTTAAATCACCATCCGACCAAACTCTATCTTAACAAAAATCCTAGATACCATGCTTATTCTGTTTGATTTCCGCATTAAATGTGTATACATATATACACATATACATACATACACGCAAACACATATATATGCAAACATACATACATATACATAGATATACATTCATACATATATACATATACATATATACACATACATATACACATACATACATATATATATATACATACATATATATATATATATATATATATATATATATATATATATATATATATATATATATATATATGTTGTGGAGTCATTTCTGCAATGGAGGCTTGTATTTGTATTAAATCGGTCTTAAATAGGTTCGACGTACAAAACGTTAGGAACTTGATATAATAGGTATTACGCAGAGTAATCTTGTTGTGGTCGCTGACTACTTTCGTATTCGACTAACTGTCGACTACTGTCGTCCGACATCGACTGACCCTCGTTTCTCTTACTACTCCTACTTATATTAGGTGGGAGAGTCTATTAACTATTAAATATATAATGAAATGGATTAATCCCGACAATTATTTAATATATTTTCTATTCATAAGTTTTTTTTTTATAAATTCAATTTATTTAAGTAATTGCTCTGTTTGTAACTAAATAGTAATAATTACATTTTCCGGTTTGAATGTTCGAGAAATTTCCGACAGAAAACGAGCTTGTTTTCCTAAACACATACAGTTGATCTCATTAGCAATGTGCAGATTACTGTTTATAAACACACAATCTTCGACGATTTTTCTCGCTCAATCGTATCTGCTAACGAAACGTATCTTAATGTAAATAATGACAACATATAATGAAATGGATTAACTTCAACAATTATTTATTATAAATTATTTAATGAATTTTCTGTTTACGTATTTTTATAGATACAGATATTCGATTCCTTTCGGAAAATGCATATTTTCTACGAAAATTTCTCGAACATTTTCTCCGGTAAATGTAATTAATACTGTTTAATTGTAAACAGGCATTTACTAAAATAGATTGTATCTATAAAAATAACGTATAAACATCATATATATATATATATATATATATATATATATATATATATATATATATATATAGGGATTTCTTTTATTTGACTGCCGGTATTAGTAATTTTAGTCATTAATCCTATCTGAAAACAATAAAAGCAGTCAAAAGGCCAGAAAATTATTTGTTTAGTTTATGACGTCATTGCTGTTTTAGTCACACCTAAACTATTTTCAACACTAAATTATCGTTTCCCGACATTCCAAAATCCTGCAATTCCATGGGTGCGGTTGTTGTTAAAGAATAATTATTTTGTTTTATATTCATATAATTAATTAACAATTGCAGAGGCAAACACTTCTCCGGATTGTTTATACTTCATTCTAATCCAAGGAATCATTTCAATCAATCAAATTTACAATTAGATTACTCTATGACATAATATCTACCCACCTTCCTATGTAAGTTATGCGTCATTCACAAAAAAAAAGCTTCACCCACTTTTTACAAATCAAAGGGGTAAAGGAGTATTAAGACTCAATACTGCCAGCTATGTCTCTTTTTCGTCTGCATCTCTTTTCCTTTTACTTTCACTCACTTTTCTTTTCATTTTTCACTAGCTTTCTTACTTACCCTCTTACCTATCTATTTTCTCTCTTTCTCCACTTCTTTATTTTCCCAATTCTTTTCACAGAACACACAGATTTTACAGCATGTAGGTGCTAGTGGTGTAAATGATAATAGCTCAGAGAGCCGGGTTCGAATTTCAGTCGGGTTGGTTATATTCATTTACCCGCAAATATCCTTGGGGAAGCTATGAATACATCTACCCCCCCCAAGTTATGGGTTAAATAATAGGATTTGTATCTGGAAAAAAATAATGATTATTGTCAAAAAATTGTTAATGCAATATTCAATCACAAAAAAGAAATTATTCTTACAATTCAAAATATGTTTCTTATATAGCGTACTCTATGAACACTAATGCGCATGCCCCAATCCTCATAAATACGTTGGACACTATTGTATGTGAGCGTAATATGCTAAGTAGTCCACCACTAGCAGTGGTTTACATACTTCACGCTGCTGGCAAGTATTGTATTTTGTTGATGCTATAAAGATTACCATTTCCATTTCCAACCTCCATTTTGGTTGTTCCTCATTCAGTAACTTTTCCTAGCTTACAACAATGTTTCGTCTTTACAGAAAGGGTCAATACGACGTAAAAAATCAATCAATCAATCAATTACTCTGATTCTAGGCAGAGGTCTAGGAAACGAGACTTTGATCTTAGGTAGAATGCACAGATACTGCAAGAATCTCTGACACTGCTAAGGCATAAATAAATAATCCTGCCATTATTATGAATACTCACTTAACAAATTATTATTATTATTATTCCTTTCATTTCTGGTGTGTACACATTTCGTTCCGGGTCCCGACCAGAGACCTAAGGTCAGAAATGGCATCATGATATTTTCCACTGAGAAGTTTTGAAAAAAAGCACACATATTTTACATAGATAAAGCCCTTCGTAAGGTGTGGGCTGTACTCGTGAGAACAATTTGTTGTATTTCTTTAAAGTATGGGCTACCAGGAATCCTTTCAATATATCTATTGGGATCTTTTCCAATCAATCCGAGGACTCCAACTACATCAGGGTTTGTTGATGTTCCCATGTGCCACATTTTTGAGATTTCGATTTCAAGGTCCTTGTATTTTCATAGATTTTTGAAGATCTTCAAAGATATATTGCAGTCTGCAGGGACTGCCATAGCAATAAGGAGTCTTTTTTGTGGTCTCTAATAACGATGTCTGGGCGATTAGTTTTGATTGTTCTGTCTGTGTGTATTGTGTACTCTTATAAAATTGTTACAGGTCCTGTGTCTGTAACCGGGTCTTGGTAGTGTTCATACAAATTATTATTATTATTATCATTATTATTATTATTATTATTATTATCTCATATTTAAATATTCACAAGATAGGTTATCGTCAGCGCTGAAGACTAAGTGAGAACAAGTCTTTTCCAATCTCCAGCATCCTTTCGATAATAAATGGTGATTTTTCTAAACACTGCTTAGATGTGTCACAAGGCCGAAAGTATGAGTCGCCCAGTGAAAATCGAACTCACTATTCAGTCGTAATTGTTCTACAGAGACAAGCTTGTTAACCATTACACCACGTCGAGCTGCCCTCTTCAGATATATAAATGAATGATTTTTCTATAAAACGCGTTGAAAATTAAGGAAGGGGTTGTTGGTGTTCAAGAAATGAAACTTGTATTGCTGAGAGAATAAATCGAAAAAATAAAGAAAGAAAAAAGGTTTAGATGACGTAGTTAGAAAAAATTAACTTCTTCAGTATTTTGAGGTTTCTATGAATCAGGTTGTGAGTTTTAACCCATTGTCCTCTCTGTTTCATCCACTCTCAGTAATCACTTGCATCTAAGTGGTTTTATTGCCTTGCTTAGGGTGAAATGCTCAAAAAAAAATCAATTTTTAAAACATATGGCTGACCATTGGATGCCCTGTCTTTCGTCGCTGAATTTGTTGATATTAGCAAGAATCTAAAATTAGTTTCAAGGACATTTGATATTTCTACTTTTCTTTCGACGACGATATTTGATAAAAATTCGCAGTAGAAAAGAGATTTATTTAATGACATATCCAAATTTACGGTTTCGCTAAATGATTGGCTAAATTTTACTATTCTTAATACAAAATATTCAATCATGGGGGATTTGAATTTGTTGGAGGTCGAATATCCTCATGTAACAATACGATTTCTCACCCATCATTCAGAGATAACTAGACAGATCCCTTTTCTTTTGAGTCAACTTAAGTACCCAAAGCTTTCAAGAAATTCGTACTGACCAGGCTCGACGTTGCTTAACTTCGATCGTACGAGAACTGGTGTTAAAACGCGATGTAGCCATAATCCCTTTATACCAACTGTATATCCAAGCTTACAGTACCTAGTATTCCCAAGCGGTCATCCATCTAGGTACTGACCTGGCTCGACGTTGCTTAACTTCGATGATCGTACGAGAACTGGTGTTAAAACGCGATGTGGCCATAATCCCTTTATACCAACTGTATATCCAAGCTTACAGTACCTAGTATTCCCAAGCGGTCACCCATCTAGGTACTGACCTGGCTCGACGTTGCTTAACTTCGATGATTGTACGAGAACTGGTGTTACAACGTGATGCCGCCGGAAGCCTTTTTATACCACTTGTATACAGCGCCTACTATTTCCAACCACTCACCCATCTAGGCACTGACCAGATTCAACGTTGCTTAACTTCGATGATCGTACAGAAACCAATGTTTCAACGTGATGTGGTCGTAAGCCCCTGTACAAAGATGGTTAGACGTCGGGTGTAAGATTATCTAAAATAAAAACATGCTAGATTTGAACAGCCGTGGATAATTCCACTGGATAGCGATTATCCACAATGCTATTGGCATCAACGGGCACTGGACCCAATGAAAGTATCATGTGTCACTATGTCAGTTAAAATGAACGTTTCTAACATAAACTGTTCGTTGTCAAGTCTGTTTGCGCAAGACTTTGATCATTACTCGCTCAGTTGTAGAACTTGTGATGTACACTGGTGACATTATTTTATGTTTATATAAGCGTCTGAATTGACTGTTCTGGTGAGAATAACTTAATTTAACTTTGTTGCTCATGACCGACATTTGGTATAGAACAAGAAACAATGTTTTAGAAAACTTGAATCACCCATGAGATAAAAGTAGATCGATAATCGACTGCCTCTCAGAATAGAAAAATACCGAACGTTACTCACAAAACAACAAAGAAACCACCCTCTCATAGAAACCTTTTTCTAAAATTATCAATAGTACGCGCACACACACATACAAGCAAATTGACAAGTCCGAATTGTATTTCGACAAGCCTATCTCGAGACGAAGATCACCGGCCCATCTGTCAAACTTATATTTAATTTAAAGTTTGCTATATTTATGGGGTAAAAGCAGTTAATATCGGAGATAGAGCGTGGAAAGATATAAGTAGTGTATAGAAATCAATACTGAATTGTAACTGAGAGGCTCACACCTTAAGTGATTATCAGACAATGGTTGAATGAGGAACAATTAGAACATGAAGTAATATTCAAAACTATGCCTTGTATAATCAAATAGTTTCAAAGTTATCAGAGCAAAACAAACGCTGTCTTTACAAACTTAGATTTCTATTGAAAATTAGGACAGCTTTCATAAAAAGAATGTAACTATCAAACTTCTTTTATCTCTCTATCACACACACTATATATATATATATATATATATATATATATATATATATATATTTGGTTGGATAGATGTGAGTTTGTGACCCTAGGTTTCACGCTATCGCTAAAGCGTGAAACCCAGGGTCACAAAACACATCTATCCAACCAAATATGTTAGCTCTATCTCTGATATTGAGCGCTTTCTAATAAGTACCGCGCATATAATATATAAATAATTATACATATATATATTTATTTATATTCATATACACTTTTCACACACACACACACATATATATATATATAAAGTGGACATTAAAGTCAAGCTGTTATTAGCAATCATAAAGAGCTATTTTCAGAACACATAACGAGGAAATAAGGCTTGGAAAATTTAACATACCCAAGACACATCAAAGGCAAGAGAAACAAAAGAAAAACAGTGATTAACCGAATTGACTAGTTTGAGCAAATGGATGGACAAACAAGTACCGCAAAACAACGACGAGTCGTAAAGGAAAATGTAAGAAAGCAACAAAGAACAGGAAGCTATGGAGAGCCATGATTGCACACGTTCTGATGGGACTTATGTGTATGTGAAAAGAGACTGACTGAATATAATTTAACTTAATTCCGAATTAGAATCTTGAATAAATTCGTCTAAAATGTTTCAGTCCTTCACTTATCTCTTTTTTATAACACAGATGGTTGAGGTGGCCAAGGAATTACGTGATAAGTAATTTACGGTTATATTTTAGTGTGCGAGGGCTGAGGAAAACTAAAGAGAGACTGTAGATTAAGCCTGAACAGGATTTGAAATAAATTGAAAACTACAAAAAGGTAATTAAAAATGTTTATCTTCCATAAATTTCAAAGTGAACCCATTATTCAATCCATAAATAAAAAAAATAAAAAAGCGAAACGGTTTTATGTTTCAGCAGTAACATGTGAAAAATATGCAGTCTGGTTAAAAAAGAGAAAAAAATCAATTGGATCATGAGTGTGTGTGTCATATTGAGATAAGCTTGAATATTTTAAGTGACTTAGGTATGCATGATTTCAATATACACGTCTCCCCTCCCTTATCTGTTGAAGGAAATATTCCCAAAGCTTTTTTTAAGCATTTGACCCCAAGCAGGGCAAGAGTGCCACTAGCACGCAAGGAGTTACAGAGGGTAGAGAACAAGAGTAAGAAAGGTGTATCTGGGGAGAGGATAAAGAGAAGGACAGGGAACGAGATCAAGGTATTAGAAGATGTCGATTGATATTACACTTGAATATTTGAAGATTATAGTTATCAGGGAAGCGAGGAAGAGAATTCCATAAACGGGAAGTACGAGAGAAGAAGCTGTTTGAGTAGAAGAGACGTTTCGACAGTGAAAGGGTGGGACCGAGATGCCAACCTAGTAGCACGTTTAAATTCATGCAGTCTGAGAACAAGAGAAAGCAACTCGTCGGAACAGATGCCATGAAAATATTTATAGAAGAGACAGAGGAAAGCCACGGCACGTCTGTGAGAAAGTGACAGTAGACAAGATGCCAGATCAGGACCTACAACATTGCATATCCGTCTGTAGATTTTGTCGAGGAACTCGAAACGTACAGCGGGAGCACCAGACCATATATGGCAGCAATATTCTATGTAAGGATGGATGGTTGATTTATAGATCTGAAGGATGGACTCAAACGAGAAAAAACTTTCTGGCACGACACAGAGAACCAACTTTCCATGCGGTAGATGAAGCTGTTAAATCTATGTATTTGTTTCACCTCACATCAGCGGACAGCGTGGGACCAAGCAGGAGCAACGAGGCGCTTTCGTGGTGTTGGGCATCAGCCATTCTGATGGGAGGCAGGGAGGGTTCTCTGTGGTGGGTAAATGAGAGCAGTTTCGTTCTGGAGGTATTGAAGTTTACAAGCCAATTCCTGCCTTGGTCCACCACAAATTGGAGGTCCTTTTCGAGACTGGCGACCAGGTTAGTTTTGTCAACGATACCAGATTTAATATTGAGGCAGGAGTAAATAGTAGTGTCGTCCACGTAGATGACTACTTGGGAACTGATGACATCGGGAAGGTTGTTAATGAAGATCAGGAACATCGCGGAAGAAAATCACGGAAATGAGTCCCAGTCTGCTCCTTGACAACAGAAAGACGTTCTGTTAGTGGGAGGTTCTTTACTGGAGGAAGAGTTGAAGGAGATGTTAACAGGCACGATGGCATGATCAGAGTTGCCAAGAGGACAGAGCTGCGTAGCGTGACGCGAATCAGGGATGAAGGTAAAACAGAGATCGATAAAGGAAGCTTTAACGTCAGGGTTACTAGGGAAACGCGTAGGAAAGTCAACCACTTGTGTGAGAGATTGAATGATTGAAAATTTAAGGGTTTGTAAGCCAAGGTCAGTTATGGGATGTTTAAGCCATTTGGTATGGTGGGCATTAAAGTCATTGAACACAAATATGTATGCAGACGAATGTAGAGAGCCTTGTCTATATTATCGGAAATGCAATCGAGTACACCACAGGATAGAGAGCGATAGAAAGAAGAGATAGCTTATAGAATGGAGGAAAAAGAGACGGAGTCATATACGGATGGTCTGGAGATTCAGGAGAGAGTTCCCTAGTCAGTGTCAGATGATTCTGTGTGTAAAATCCCAGGCTGTGCATGTTTTATGGAGTCCTTCCTAAGGAGAGGAAGGTAACAGGGAATCGAGAAGTCAGAAGAAGGGATTGACGAGTTAAGATTGATCTCGCGGAGAGCTAGTATATCAGGTGACTTCTCAGCGATGTACGATTCCACACTGCAGAAGTTGGTTCGTTCTTCCTAGCAAATGTCTGAAACTGCAGATAGTATTAAACCCTTTCGAAACCTACCTATGATAAAATGAAATTTATAAATTTGGAACAATAAGTTACTAACAATAAATAATAATAAAATAGAATAATTTTAACAATAATTTCATAAAATTATGTAACGAATAATTTATTTGTTCCTACCATAAAAAAAAACACGTCAGTCTGTGATTTTTTTCTTTACTTAGTCGAGAACTTTTATCTTTCCGCTTAAAGGAAACGCTTTACGGCTTACCTTTGGTAGAAATAAATGTCTAACTTCATTCTTCAAGCGCTTTGTAGCTATTATTAATTAAAAAAATTATGTTTAGGTGTAACCGCAGATAACTGAAGCATTGAACGTAAGATTGCGACTAGGGAGTAGTGTATTTTATATAAAAGAAATAAAATATATTTAGACTTTTCGAGTATTAGATATAATTGCAACAATTAGACTATGAACGCTGGTTTGAAATTATAAGCAAGCGTTGTCGGAGATGCAAGTCTGTAAAAGGAATTTTATGTTGATAAGCTTCATAAAGTTTCGATTCAAATATCTAAGTCATATAAAATTTAGTTTGTTAAATTATATTTTTCGTTCCAGAATTCACAAATTCAAACAATGTTATCTCTCAAATCAGCCTCATCTTTAAATATGATGTTTAAATAAAACCTGGAAAGGACGAGAGTCAGCTCATTCAATTTTTACGTTGGCTTTTTCTTTGAGAGATCCACATAAGACGCGATGTACACACACGAACACTTGTGCATATTTACGCATGTAATACTTTTTACAGAGTTCATAGATACTGAAATGATTCAGTATTTACCTATCCAGCAGTGTGGTAAAATGTGTTTCAGTGGGTTCCTCATACGTGTAGCCAGTATTGGCCTATCATGCAGTCGTCAGAGTAGTCTACTCATTTTCTCTTTGGGGCAATGGAGCCATGTCATGGCCTTTCAGGACGTAAACGTTCATGGCTCTCCAC